CGCGCTATTAGTTTTCCTTTCTCGACGTCGAGATATGATTGACGTTGAAAGAGCGAGGTGTCTTGGGATCGTGTCTTGTCCCGCGATCTAAGGAAGAGATAGCGACGGCTAATCGCATAATCGATGAATTGACTCAGCAACACACACACACGCGAGCGCGCGCGCACACACACACACACTCGGGCGTCTTATATTCACGCGAGGAAAAAAAAAACGGAACAAGTTCCGAGTGCGTGCAACAACTCGGGCGGACGAGCGTTTATGAGAAAAACGTTATACATTGTGTGCGCGCGCCAATAATACACGGCAAAAGGGTTGACATTTCGCGCGTCGTAATTAAACGAGCGGAACAATGACCATTGTCCAACACGCGCGCGATAAGGATTTGCCCGGCGTATAAAAATAGAAAAAAATCGGCGCAATAATATATGTAGCTCGGTGCCTTATTATCGACGTTTTCCTTTCGGACCTCACATGGCGTTGCCAGGAGCCAGGTACTCGGCCGTAACCTTCTGTGTTGCAGCTGTTCTCTCTCTCTCCCCCTCTTTCTCGATCGAGTCCTAATCTCCGATGAAACATTTATTCGAGCGATCGCACGCGAGAGAGTTGCCGCAATTAATCGAGCAAAATTGGAGCAACGAAAATTTACAAAATGTAGAAAAATCTGAAATATAATATCTGGAAATTAATTGAATTGTTTCTTCTCCAAAAATAATTTATACGACAATTGTTCCTGATGTGTGCAAAATTAGCAGAAGTCGAGTTTGACACGATATCGAGGGAAGAAATATTGTTGCGCGCGCCGATACGTTGCACTCGGTCAAGGTAAAACTTTAAAGGGGAGAGCCTATATATTATAAATATTATTGCTAACCTGGAAACGAACAGTTGCGCGGTCGGTTATTATTACGCCTATCCTAAATTCGGTTTTTCTTCATTCGCGTGTCCGTCGATTCCGAATCGATTCGTCCGCGAATCATCCCTTCCACCGCGGCGCGCGCCGTCTCCGCGCGCGACTTATTCTTTTATTTTGCGCCAAATTATGTGCCGTGACAGGTCGATGTCAAGTACAAGGGACGTCGTGCCGGATGGTACGACCCCCATCATCGGTTATATTTGCGAAAACACACACACACACACACTACATTTCCCGTGCCATCCGCCGCGAACTCCCGCGAGATTAATCGATGTTTGCCACGACGCCACGGGATCCGTCGCGCTTTATCGTTCTCCCGACGATATATTCCACATCCCAAATTTCCGCAATCCCTTTAATTCCTTCCACGTGACTCACTCCCCTTGGTCTGTCTTCAATCTAAGAAGAATATCGTCATTCGTAATCTACGTCGTATCGAAAAATCGATTGTTTTAGAATTTGTTTTAAGAGAATTTTAAAGTTTCTCTCAGATTATTTTAGACTTTTAAAAACATTTTTTTGTTGTCATAAATCTCACACGTTTTGAGAAACAAAAAAATGGTTGAAGTAGGTTCAATTGAAAAATTCTTTAATTGAATTATTCAACGCTTGGCTTGTGTTATTTCTCTCACAATTGAAAAACAAAAACCAACTGATTTCTGAAAAATTGAAAATGTCAATTGTTACATGATATACCGCGCGCGCGCGCGCGCGCGCAATATCGGGGCTAGCTTGGGGTTACACTTTTTAGCGGCACTTGGCGCGACATTGTTGGAACCGCTCGGTCTCACACGACCCGCGCAAAGGTGCGAAGGAATATTCAAAGAGATCCGCTACAAACAACCGAAGTTTCCGACCAACACGTGTCCGCGCGAGAGCGCCAGATGATTGACGGTTTGTCTCCTTCTCTCTCTTTCTCTCTCTCGTGTCGGTCGCGCGTGAGATGCGTGAAAACGGCGACGTGAATGTGTAATTGATGAGAACAACACACGGCGCAGTTTCCACAAAAGCCCGTCGGTGCCTCGCAGAAGCGTTAATTCCGCTCATTGTAGTCGAGCTGGCAAAGTGGATAATGGTGGTGCGCGACCTTATTTCCTAGGCACCGCGTCGATTAACGCGGATGTATGTGAGATACCGTCGAGAGAAGATACGCGCGCGCGCGCACCACCACACGTGTGTGTTATACGCGCGGTTTAGTTGTCGGTTTGCGCCGCGTGAATCTTATAATCAGCGTGCATCGGCGTTCCTGATGATAGTCCCCGCGTCCATCCCCGCGCGCGATCGAGTAGCTCCTCCGTCGCGGTCCCGTCATTCAATTGTCCGATAATCTATTAGAGGAACCCGGCGGTTAACGACCCTTGTCTCTTCCTCTCTCTCTCTCCTTTTCCACCTCCTCTTCTTTCTTCTCTTCTTCCTGTGAAAAGTAGTCTGCAGGCGTGATACCGTAAACCTATTTTCAGACGCGAAATTGCACCTCGTAAAAACCGCGCCGCGTTACGTAGCGGAATACCGTTCGTAACGTCTCTTCCTCCTCCTCCTCCTCCTCCTCCTCCTTTTCTTCGCGCTTCTAGCAGATATTTTCTTCGAGAGGTGCTGCATGCGCGATGCCGCCTCGGATTAGTCGCGTCTCGACGAGACGAGGAGTCGTTCGCTCCGAAGAGGTTTTTTTTTTATTATCTCGGTCGATGTAATCAGCTACACATCTACGGTAACGCCATCCGAGGACCAAGTTTTTATCACCTCTCTTTTCCGTACACCCGGCGAATGTGAAAGAATTTCGGTTTGCTAGCAAGTCGGACGTTCGTATCGGCGATAAAACTCTCGTGTACGCAGAGAGAATCGGTAAAAACTTCTCTCTCTCTCTCTCTCTCGCCCCGTAAATAAAAAAAATTCAGTTCTCGCATGACTCTCGACTGCTCTTTAGAAGCGCGTCGTCATTGTGTATCTCCTGTTTTCTCGATTTTAAACCATCGCCGTCCGAGCTCGCTCATAGCCTTTCGACACGCAATTTCTTTCGCGAGCGGGGCAATTCAGAGGAAATAGCGTTACCTCGCGAAAGTAATCTTGTCTCGGAAAACCATGAATACCATTACTATAAATCATTCCCGCGCGTTGTTGAAGAAAAATTTGAAAACCAACCGGGGTCGAGCGGGGACGATCGTTATTACTCGCGCGTGGCGCCCCTCGGCTCGATGCCGCATCGCCGAGAGGCAGGTTGATTTAGTCTAATTAACACGAGTGCCCACACGCGCGCGAAAGGAGCGAGGAGATAGACGCGCGCAGAGGCGTCGCGCGCCTATACGTCATGCAGCATATTTCCCGGCGCACCCATCCTGTGTCCCCTCCAGGACTCTCCTCGCTTCCTACGGCCTCGGATTGATTATCCTCGTTACTTTGCGCGCTCGTAACTCCGCGGCTACCACTCTCGCGTGTGTGGGCACACACGTACACACGCGTGTCGCGGCCCGACGCGATACTGACGCGACCGCGGCGCCGAGAGACACACACAATGGGACAACGAGACAAAAAGTTGTCGGAGTTGAAGAAGAGAAGCAAAACTCCGCCAATAATGGAGTTTAATGCGTGTAATAATCGATCCTCGGAAAATTTATTCTCCTTGTAGAAATTTTTACATTATTTCTTGGATTTGTTTTATCACACACTCACAGATTTCGTTTATCGCGGCGTTATCGCCGAAGTTTATTGTTCTTTAATTTGATTTTGATCGTCTAGAGAGAAAGAAAGAGAGAGAGAGAGAGAGAGAGAGAGAGGAGACTGACTTCTCGAATTAAGATTTTCATCTTCTCCGATCGACGTGTTCGACTTAATTTTTGTTTGTTCGATTTGATCGTCTAATCGTCGCGCGATTAACATCTCGAATTAAGATTTTTTCTCATTTTTTCTCCGATTCGACTTGGTATCGATTTTATCGCGCGAGACAAAACAGGAATGTAAACTTCTCTCAATCGCGCGATCCTTCGTCGAAAAAAATGAAGCAAAAAATCAGCGGCTCGCCGATCGTCCAAGGTGGATCTAAGCAAAATGCGGTCGCGTGCAGGTTTCTCGCGAACGTTTCTATCAGCTCCTCGTATGCAATCATTCGCGATATAATAACAACGCGGAAACGTTCATTCATCATCGTGATTGTGCTGCAACAACACGCGCGATACATACACACACACGCGGCGCACGAAAAAATAACCGAGAGAGAGAAAAGAGGAGAGGTTCTGTGTCATTAATTAAACCGTAGCGTCATTTCCTCGATCGTGAGTTAACGATATTTTATTATATTACCGTCCGGTAATTCGAGCGTAACGCATAACTGAATTAATAATCTCGCACAAGAAATTTTCAAAAGAAATCACTTTGCAAAATAAAATATAACCCCGCGATACGTTCCGGTCGCGCGCGGCATTCGAAGTAATGATGTTTACCCGTTGCGCGCGGTTTTTTTCTCGTTAGAGACGCTAATTAATTTGAGCTTCTGCCATTAGTCTCGCGATCAAGCCGGCGATCCGTTCTCTCCTCTCTCCGATGGAGAAAGAGAGGATCGTGCTTTCCGAACGATTAAAAAATCGGGAGCGCGCGCGCCCGAGGAGGCGCACACGCGCCGTTCCCTCGCTAATTGAAATTGCGGTCCTAATTGAACTCCCCCGTTTTTACGAGGCGGCACCGAAAGAGAGAGAGGAAGCGTTTCATATTCCTAATTACTCCGAGACCCCTTCCCCTTGTTATTTTTTCTTCTGTTGCCCTCCCTTCCCCCTTTTTTTTTGCTTTCGCGCACGCGACAATGCACACGCGCGGCCGCACGCATCGTGTGCCTCGTTAAGCGGAAAACAACGCGTGCAGGAGAGTTGCGTCGCCCGCGCAAACTGCGTCATCGTCAGACGGTTCGTCTGCCGATTCGGCGTGTAACCCATTATATTTCGTCGACGAAGGGAACGAGGGAGACCGACCGGAAAACGCGCTGTGAATCTCTTGTTTTTTTTTCATCTAGCAGTAAATGTTGAATTTAAAGCAAAAAACAATACTTTTGTTATTTGATGAAAATGTTAACCGTGGCGATTTGCGTTCGATGTTTCAGGGTGTTGAAGCCACCCGGCGGTGGTAGCAGCGATATATTCGGCGCAGCTCCGGAGGAGACGAGCCCGCGACGCGTCAAGACTCACAACCAGTCCCAGTTGGGCTCGGCGCTGTTCGGCGACGCAAACGGCACCGACACGGCGACAACCGCGGTGTCGCCGCGCAACAAGCCCGGTAATGATTCATACAAACGCCTGTTTGGCCCCCCCGATGCCCCATCCACCACCCCAAACGCGAGAAATCACATGCGCAGCAATATTCCCCTCTGCGGGGGCTCGTCGCCGGTCTCGTCGTTATCGTCGGGCGCCGCGACGTCGCCCGCGAAGAGCACAATCAGCAGCAACTGCAGCAGCAGCAACTCGACGTGCATCGCCAACGGCTTTGCAAGCAACGGTAGCAACTCCAACGATATCACAGGTAAGGAATGCCCGTCGCGGACGAGGAAGCGGCTTGTTCAAAAAAACTATCCCGGGGCGGACAAAGAAGTTTTTTTCACGTTATCTCGTTGGAATTTTGTCACAAAGTAAACTCAGTTATCTTGTCTTTTTATATCAGGTGTTTCGGAGATCAACATTTTTTTTTTATAGAATTATAACCGGACTAAAGAACAATTTGATGTATTTAAAATTTTTTTTTTTTGTTTTTGATGTATTTAGAATTCTTTTTGCTAACTTTTAGTTAAAGAATTTTTTCTTTTTTGATGGATCAAAAGAAATGTCACACTGGCCGCTCCGGGATTTGCCGAACTGTTTCCGCATTCGCGGTCGAGGACACTTCCTCTTCGATAATATCGCGTCCTAAAGGGCGCGATTATTCTGATCTAAGTTGAAATATGTGTGTGTCGCAGGCTCTCACGGCGTGCAAATCGCGCTTATTATCGATTCTTAGTTTTTCTCACAAAAAAATTTTTTTCTCATAAGTATACACACGCAATTGAGAGAAAAAAACAAGAAAACAAAAACGTGTTCCGTGTGTGCGGGAATTTGCGGAGCTAGCGAGACACTATTTAACAAAGAGAAATCAATATGTTGAAATTTTCCTGTTCCGATATTTTAAATGTGTGTGTCGCATTTTTTTTTAATATACGTCACTTTCCTTGAACTGTTCGCAAGCAGCTTTTAGGAGAAAGAAACGATTTCGTAAGTGTGTAAACGAAACAATTTTTTTTCAAGTAGATGACACACGACACACCGCCACACTTTCTTATTTGGTCACAGTTTTTTTAGAACATGTCAAATTCGCGAATTTATTTTTTTTTTTTGACGCTTTTTCGAGAGTAAAGAAAAATTCGGCAAAAAAAAACAAAAAAAATTATACACGAGTGTGAAATTTTTATCGCGAAAAAAAGAAACGTTGGATTCTTGAGTGCGATTTTTCGAAGTGAATTTTTCATCACGGCATATCATCACTTGTTTTATCTCAGGGCCTGCCACGAGATTAGAAAACACATATTTTGAGTTAGACACACACCGCCACATTCACCGCTTAGGCCTTAAGTTTCGTATTTTTACCCAGTATAACATTATTTACATCACATTATCTTTCGCTTGAAGTTGAATCTATTATTTACATCATGTTTTCTTGTCACATTTCGCGCTCACCTGCGACTCACTTCGCGGTAAACGACATTGGAGGAGCAGCAAATTATAACAAAAACTTGGTATCCAATTATTTTAAATGATCAGGCACTTTACCATCGAGAGAATCTCGACATATGGAAACTAAAAATGTATCATTGTGCGTTGTAATAACTTCGCGAGAAGCAATTTTACAAGTACCTCGTAATGCAACAAATAAAAAAAAATAATAATAATAATTTCAATGTCGTTTGCGAGACGTAATCGTTCACGTAATTCTGACGTTTTTTTTGTACGAGATGCACCATTATAGCAATTACACGCGATACACTTGTTTATAATAATTCTCGGATTTTACTTAATAACAAATAGCACGCGGAATGGTTTTTTTCTTACGATAACATCGATTTCACGACAAAATAATATCAGAAGGATACCGTGTTGATAATATTTACACATTTTATCGGCAGAGAAGTAAAAGTGCTACGGAGATTTTTTTTCTTTTTTTTTTTTTTTTTACATAATTGACAAAACATGTGTGATTTGTTGGTTTTGCTCTCATTATTCCGCCTTGGTTTTTGTATCTTTCGCCGCTAGTATTTCATCCCTTCTTCACACAATTTAAACACAACATACAACACACCGTTCTCTATGTTGCTTCAATCTTAATTTCCGTCGCACGGACGAATCGAGGATATTTAATTAATTTTATGAAATGTAATTAAAATCCGTCTTTCTTGCTTTGTTAAATAAAAATATCAGATTGTATCTTAAAAACAAACAAAATTACATTTTTGCTCGGAATTTTCTCACAAAAATATCCGCGATCCGTCCGTACGAATTGCCGCGCATTAACACAAGTTGGTTGGGTTTATACGATTGGTTGTGGGTTTTGCGACGGTGTTGCGGTGCATGGGGTGAAATGGTTCTCTCTCTCTCTCTATCTCTCTGGCTTGCGCGTCGCTATGTTGCGCACGTGGCGGCGAAATGTCGGCTGTGGTGGTGGTGATGACGGCTATTAAACGGCGCGGATGCACCCTTCACGGTGTCGCCGCATCCCCCGCCCGGCAGGAGGATCGCCCTGCGTGCCGGTGCGCAACCCGGTCACCGGAGACGGAATCGAGGTGACGCCCGTGAGACGCATCCCACGAAAGTGTCGAGGTAACGTTCAGCAATTTATCCGATTGTTCTTCCCGTTTGTTTTCTCTCCCACCCTCGCGAGGGGGGAGGAGAAAATGTGAAACTATAGAAATAGCACCGACGTAAACACACACACACACACGCATCCTTAGAGTTACCTTGCACCGAGACTAGTGAGTAAAAGAAGTTAGAACTCGAAATTAGTCGAAGGAAATTTTACGCGATACCACAGAAAGACAAACAAAGTCGCCAGACTTGAAATTAATTAGATATAGAAATAATTAGACGTGCAAATGTGTGTCAACTTTTAACAACAGTTTTTGTGTAAAATGAAACAAAGTCGCTGAACTCGAAATTAATTAGATATATACAAATAATTTTTTTAGATTACGAATGTGCAAGAGTATGTCATTTCTTAACAGTTTTTATAGCGTTAATTGACCATCGAGCGGCCTGATTGTGTTAATTGAAATTAAAACTCAATTTTTCTCTCTCTTAATGTTTTCGATCTCTCAATTGATTCTCGATTCAACGATGCCTATCTAATTGGTCCAATTTTCCGAAAGCGAACGTCTGCAAATTAAAAAAAAAAAAAAAAGTAAAAAAAACCTGGAAGATTAATTATCGCCAGTTTTGCCGTTTCGAATCGCGGAATTTATATAATTGAATACTTCCGTTAATAAAGCGCTCGCACGCTAATTGTATAAGATGTAATAATACGCGCTAGTGTGCGCTTATTATCTGCAACTGGTGCAACTAGGGCGAATCGCCTCGGAGAGAGAAAAGATTCTTAATTATAGAAATAATAAGCATACGTACACACACGCGCGCGCGCAAAATTAATAAATATTTATGCGGAAAGAAACAAAGCATTTTAATTTTTTTATATGTTTCGCGCTATTTGAAAGACAATCGTTTGCGAGATCGAAAAGAAGGAGAGAGAGAAAGCTCTTTTGTTGCGACGACAAATTAATGTTTGTTCATTTTCTCTTTTATTCATCCGGCATTACAATTCGCGCGTCACACGTCGCGAAACCTCATTCGAATTCTCGAGTGTATTGAAGACTCGCTTGTGTGTCGAAGAAATGTTTTTTTTTTTTTTTTTTTTTTTTTTCTACACCACAATCGGACATGATTGACGACGTTTTAAAGCGAGTCTTTAATCCATCCATCGCCTCACGTTCCGGCATTCATGTGTATAATGCTTACGGTAAGTTCATCCGATCGTGCTACAAAGCGTTATAATAGGTAAATGATACCTGCATAGATTGTGTGTGCGCGTGTCTGTTCTTCGTAGTTTTATTTCAGGTGTCAATCAGGCTCGCAAAAGAGCAATAGACGATTTCGATTTGGCTTTACGAAACTTGCGATTGAGTTATGTGCGCTTTTAAATCGCCTCTGTATAAGATTAAAGCTGTTCTCTTCTCTCTTATTTCCCCCCAGTGTGAGCCCTCAATCGATGTAACTGAGACTGTTATGATGAGACGACAATTTGAAAGCTCGAAATAAAATTTTTTTTTTAAACTTAACAACTATTCTTCGTTAATTTGTTTAAAATATTTTTTATCATACGTTTTTTTAATTTATATATTTTGTACTTTTATATACAAATTTATTTACTTCCCTTAAACGTGGAAATTAAATTTAATTCGAAATTTAATTAATTTAATTCAAAATTTTAATTACGCATTCGGCATATTCGGTTCGATTTTAACATTTAGTTATAATAAAATTGCTCAACAAAACGACGAGTTATTTACATCAATTGAGAGTTCAAACACGTATTTTTTTTCTAGTCTTAACGCTTGAACGACCGGAAGCCTATTAATCGGCTTGCGCGCCACCGAGTCGGTAACAGATTCAGGCGGTCAATTAAGTGTGTTAAGACTGTTAAGTGTTATTAAGTAGTATTGTGTGAATATAGACAACAATAGCATGTGCGATGGGGGTCTCAATCTGTCAGTGTTTCGTGTCGGACGTGTAGGAACGTAAGGACGAAATTGACTTTGCAATTATCTACTCTCAGAATCATTAAAAGTATCTTGTGCACGGTGCGGAATATATCTATTGAAAATTTTGTTGCGTTAGATTGGTTGCGAAAAGCTTGCGATTTTTGTTATTTAATAAATAAAAAAACTTAATCAAACAACAAAATTTATTAACAAAAACCGCAATTACTTTTTTGCATTGGTCTAACACATTTCGCAGCATTCTGGACGAAAAAATGTTTATTCTCAGGATTCGGTCCAGAACTACGGTGACTTCGCAAGATTCTATTGTACACGTTCCGAAAGGGAGACCGATCGATCCCGAGAGTTCCTACGCTCTGAATCACTTGCATGCTAGAGACTCGCGTGTTCAACGATGTAGAAACTGAGATGTAGCTCAGCTCCGCTGTTCTTTTCGATTTCTTAATCATCGAAATATATCTCTATCCTGTCTGGGAATAAGATCTTTTTTTTTTTTTTAGCGTAATGTTTTTGCGCGTTGTTTGACGGGTAGCGCGAAAAAATTTCAAATCAACTCGAAAGATCTTTCATTGAACATTAATCAATATTCAGCGAAATTGTTTATCATCTTACGTACAGAACTTAGACGTCGAGTTTAGATCTGATCGATCACTTTTAGACGAAGCACGTTTTGTCGTCGCCTCGTACAGATATATAAAATTTGTCACGCAGTAGCAATTACATTTAGTTTCCGATCTGTCTCGAGGAACTCGAGAGAGACGCCCGCTCGCTCATAAACGCCTTGGACGTTGGAAAAAAAAAAAAAATCGGGCGCTCATCGGGATTTCTTTTGTTTGCGACAACTGGAGCTAACGAAAACAAAAAATGATTTTTCCCGCAGATGGCAATCCGGTAACCGGAACTGGCTACGCGTCCGAGGCGCAGAAGAACGGACCGGTCGTGCAGAACGGAATCGCCAGCTCGAATTCCAGCAGCAGCGGCGAGAAGTCGAACGACACGTCGCCGATGGCGAAGCCGGCGACGCGCACACGCGTCCCACCCGGTGGCTACTCATCCGGACTCTGGTAAAGAGCGACCATCCCCATCGGTCGCTCGGGGTCGTTCTTCCCCTCCTCCCGAGGGGGTGGAGAACAACACTCTGATTAATCCTTTCGGCCCCCGTAACTCTTAAAATCTGATTACAAAGCCCGTGCGTAATTCCCGTAGTAGGACTTAAAACAAAACAAAACAAAAAAAATAAAAAATTGTTCCCCGTCAGAGCGAAAAAATCCGAGAGTGAAAATCCCACTTTATTCTCACCGTATTCCGTGGCAACGACACGAGCCGGAATACAACTCTTTTCTATGAATCTTTCTACATAGAATCCCTCGCCCGATTCAAAATAGCCCGCGCGAAAGTGTACAAGAACGGGCTTTAACTAGATTTAACTTCCTTTTGCTTTGTATCAATTCGACGAAAAATACATACATAAAAAAATATATACAATAACAGTAAAAACAAGTAAAACGACGTCTCTTTGCGTTTTTCAATTTTTGCGACTGGTCACTCACACGGCCTCGAACTCGGCCTTTTTCTCATCTCGAAACACACGTGAAAAATCGGTTACTTTTTTCTCTCTCAATCTTCGGAGAAACTTTGACGTGTACACACAATCACGTCGTCGGAGGGGGGAGGGGGTGGGCTGAAAGAGTTAATGAGAGCGAACAAAACAAAAAGTATAATAATAATTAATAATACGATCGTCTATCTCCCGAAAGAAAGACAAGTGCGAAAACGAGCAGAGACGTCGCGTTCGTAAGCGAAGGGGAGATGATCGCGTTCACAGATTCGCGAGACGGATTTAGAGTCTTTTCCAGACTCTCTTTCTGAATACTCCGTTTTGTCGTTAACGAGCGAGTTGTGTAAAAAGATGTCTGCCCATAAGTGCGCGCGCACAAGAGAACAAACCGATTCGCCGGGTGTTCCTCCGAGCGTGAATTACCGGTCCTTCAATTAGCAACTCCACCACGGACTTTATATCGCGTAACTGTATAGAGGTAGTTAAGGCGATCATCGCGGCGTAAAGCAGCGCGCCTCTCGTCCGAGCTGTTGTGGTCGGCGAAACGATTCGCGAGTCATAAATCACTTGGGTTGGGGAAGCGCGCGCGATTTCCTATCAGCGGGACGACTCCGCAATGCGAATAAATCGGAGTTACTCACGGAGGGAGCTCTCTCGGGAACGAGAAAATGAAAGCATTTTATTTTTATCGAGAAAACGCGGACAGATGCCGAGAAGAATAATTTGAATATACGGACGAGTTTGTGTGGGAACGAATTTCAATTTTGTTTTTTTTTTTATTTCTTTTCTCTCTGTCGAGAGACGATACGCATTTTTAATTTAAATTTTTGCTTCGATATTCGCGTTCCTCGGAGAGGAATCCGCTTTGATAAAAGAGAAAGAGAGAGCTTTAATTCATTTGCACTCTTCGTTCATTCGATTTCTTCTCATCGCTCTTGTCATCCGCGATGAGAGGAAATCAATCCGCGATCGCGCGACGTTTTTGCTCGTTTCCGACGTGTATTGCCGTGATCCTATAAAATCATCTAATTGGGAAAATTACACGTCTCTCTGACACACAAGGAACAGAACTGCTCTCTCCTACCTTGTGGGAAGTGAAGGGCAGTGATATGCACACGTACAAACACGCATACACGCATACACACACACACACACACACACACACACACACACACACGTGCAGAGAAGTACTGAGAGATCGTAGAATCGTAGGATCGCGATGTAGCGCGGCGTCGAGTAGGAGCGAGAAAAGACAAAAAAAAGAAAAAAAAAAGAAAAAAAAACACAACCCTGATAATCCCTTGCTACACGACGGGAGATACGTCGAGACAAGTAATATACACGTAAGGATAATCAATTAATCGGATAATCAACACCTCTTTGAGCATAGAGTGTACCAAGTCGAGTCTCGTGATACTGGAAAGTGATTAAAAATTCGTATAAGAGAAAAAAATAGAGAAAAATAAATAACCAACAACTAAAGAAAATAAAAGAATAAATTAAATTAAAAATCACACATGAGAAGGATGGACTGAAATTCGGAGCGCGATGGAAAAAAAAAAAAAAAAAAATTGCGAAAGGACTTCGGAACTTGTACATTAGACGTAGGAACATGTTATTTCGAAGAATAAAAATATATCATGTGTAACCCATTAAACCAAGTCAAGTGCTTTCTTAATCTCTCCGTGCCTTCTTATAATCGCTTGATTTTTGTCGCACGATGTGTGAGAGAAAGACGACGCGCGGCCGAGAGGTGTGTATGTGTGTGAAATATGAGAAAAAACAAACCTCTCCTCTCTCGCCTAATTTTGCTCGCGAGTATTAATGCGCGCGACACATCGACAACGAAAAAAAAAAAAAGACAAAAACGAACGCGCGATGTCGCGAGAGCTCTCGCCGCGGAAAAGCTTCTCGAAAAAAAAGTCAAAGGAAGGATCATCGTGTGTATATTTCTCGATTCACGCGTGAAAAGCTATTATTATTTATCTATTTATATTATCGGTATTGTATACTTATCTCTTGTTTCTAACGGGCAACGCGCGCGGGGAGACCGCGCACGACGAGAGAGAGAAAGAGAGAGGATGAGAGATTTTTCGTCGTGCGCGCGTAAACACGCATCCGTTGTCGCCCCCTTCTCCCTCTTCGCTTTCTATGTAGCAGCGCGCAATCGAATGTATTTATTTTCACAAGCAAAGAGCCGTGCACACATGTATCGTTTTCTTTTTTTTTCCTTGCTCCTTTAACGTAAAGGATTCTCTTACGCGGTCGTTTGGTGTGAGTTAAAATTAAGTTGTTTGTGTAACACACACTATGCATCGTATCCATCAGTAAAGTAGCCTTTTTTGTACTCTGGCAATGATTAATAAAATTTTATAAGCAAGCTGACGGTTTTGTTACTCGCTCCTTTCCGACAGACAGACGGATGATGTGATAAGATCAGGATGTAAAGTGTTTGTTTTTTTTTTTCACATGGCTTGTGTTTTTAATATCAAAATAAAAATTCCTTTAATATACAGATCGGGAACGAAGCGCAGGTACGTATGTGTATCCATCAATGTGCATTGCAATTGGTAGAAAAACAAATTCGTACAAAAGGACAAAACTAATTACGACTCACCAGTTTCTACGTACGACAATAAACAAAAAATTAACATGTTATTCGATTTTTTTCTAAATCGAACGAGTATTTGACGACGCTAACATTACGTAATTCTATTTTACAAATTAATAATGCGGATTGAGAAAGGTAACTTGAAACGCACGTATCTATATGAAAATTTTAAGTTAACAATTATATTATAGTTGCTTAAAATACTTATGTGTTTAATACTTTTATATGTTATTTTTAATCGAATTTGAGAAAATTTTTTAAGTTATAGAGTAATTCTTCAAGTTTTTCAAGAATAATGCCTCGAGTATTAAAAGTAAACGGTGCTTGTTTACGTAATTAATAAATTTGATGACGCAACGTTAAATAGCGGCAATGAGATCTCTCATCTTTGCGCCGTTGGCTTTGCAAAGAGCAGCGAATATGTGCTTGTGATTGGTCTCCTGCTCCATTCTTCTGGCTATCTCGTGCGCTCTCTTTGTTATAACAGACGGCACTCCCGCAAGTCGGGCGGCATTGAATCCGTAAGATTTCGGACAAGCTCCCTCGCTGAGTTTGTACAAAAACGTCACCGTCTCCTGCGACACTTCCTCCTCCTCCTCCGTTTCCACCATGCAGGCCTAAAAAAATTAACGCACACGTCGAATATTTTTTTTACATGAACCGAAGGAAAAATTCATATCGCACAGATGTGAACAATTTTCTCTCTCTCACCATATGCGCCAACGTGACCTCTTTATTGGTCTTGTAATCCTCGACCAGAGAATGATAGTGTGTCGAGAATAAAGTGCGACATTTGAGCTTGGTCAACGCGTCGACGACCGAGGCCGCTATCGCCGTGCCGTCGTAGGTTGACGTACCGCGTCCTGCGATAAGTGAAATATAAAATTTTCTTCGATCGATCTCGCGTCTGAGATTAGAGTCAGATCGACAACTAGTATAAAATATGGACTATTCTTACCCAACTCGTCGAGAAGAACGAGCGAGTAAGGCGTGGCGTGTTGCAATATCGCGGCGGTCTCGCTCAGCTCCACCAAGAACGTGCTCTGGCCGGCGAGAATATCGTCGTTCGCGCCCAGTCGCGTGAAAATACGGTCCACCAGCGTCAGGCGGCACGAACTGGCCGGTACGTAGCTGCCCTAGTTACGCAAGAAAATTAAATTCAAATTTTTACGCGGCGCTCAATAACCGATCGTTAAGTCTCTCGCTCGCTCGATTTTTTTCCTCAGTAAAAACTTACTATCTGCGCCATGATAGTGATCAAGCCCGCTTGGCGCATGAGAGTGGACTTGCCTCCCATGTTCGGTCCGGTGAGAATCATGAAGGACGCGTTGCCGCCGGTCGCCAACAGAGTCTCGTTTGGTATGAAGCTGTCGGACGTAATGCAAGGATGCTTTCCGTCTCTTATCTCGAGGAAAATCTAAACGAACCAAGTCTGTATTGTCGCGCATTTATGACGAATTAAGGATAATCATCGACATCTGGCACGGGGATACCGTTATTACCTCGCCGTCCGATCCGTCGAGTATCTCCGGCACGCACATATCACCGGTTTGCGCGTAATCCGCGAGAGAGATGAGTACGTCCATGGTGGCCAATTTGTAAACGGCCGTATGCCACATATCGTACTTCTCGCTAAACCGCGCGAATATCCTTCTGTTCAGATCCTTCAGCACTTTGTCCCTGTGCTCTTCCGCGTTCATTTGTCTCGCCAAAAGTTCCTGCAACGGAAATACAAAATTATCCCGTGACACGGCAGTTTCGATCGTCAACGATCGCGTTGGTCGACATCAAAGCACTTAGAAAGAAATATGAGATTTTTTCAAAATAAAAAACTTTTTATAATTCTTGCCTTAGCCTCTGCGGTGTAATAACGTTTGAAGCCTTTCCTTTGTGACTGCAACTCGTATCCGGGACCGACCTTCTTGACCTGCGACTCGGGAACCTCGATCTGATAGCGTTTCCTGTCCGATCCGTAGAACGATATTTTCACGCCGAAGTGCTGCCTCTGCTTTTCCAAGTACTTGTCCAGATCTCGTTTGTTCTCGTCGAGCTCGACCAGCACCGAGTCATATTCGGCGTCCACTCCCCTTTTCGGAACAATGCAACCCTGCTTTTTCGCTTCCTCGTGATCGAACGCCGTCTGTGGAATTTTTGTTAAGGCGCGGACGTGAGAGAGAAAGGAAAATGAGCAGTTGGAAGAATTATCGAACAGAAAAGCGTTACCTTGAAGTAATCTAATGTTTCTCTTAATTGAGGAAAATCACCGTCCGGCTCGTATCGGGTACAGCGCGTGATCAAGTTACTTCGGAAATCTGCAAATAACGATTGCTGCTAACAACCGCGCGCAAATTACGTGACAAACTTGAGTGAAAATAAAAAAAAAAACATACTATCGAACAGTTCGACGAATTTCAAGACTTCCTCAAATTTAGCGAGCGTTGTGGTGAAGTCCAAAATTACTCTCTTCGAGTAAGTCGGTCCTTCGAACATGATGGCTCTGCCGTCAGGATGGTTTTTCATTCTAGCTGCGTTTCCCTGAGCGTGGATTCTGTCGGAACAACAAAAACGCGCATTCACACAATGACGACTTAGTTACAATGTTATTATTTCTAATAGTTTCTTCTGACGTACTTGCTCAACAATCTCTCAAGATCCGGCAGAGTCGACAGAATCGCCCGAGCCGATTGCATCACGTCGATCTGATCCAGCAGTTCCTGTACAGCTTCCTGACGTTCTATTATAACGGCTTTGCGGCAAGACGGTCTGCAGATCCATTCGCGCAGCAGTCTATAAAATACAAACAAAACACACGTCTGGTCAATGTAACGGAGATTAATGTGGAAGAGGAGCTAGCGTGCGAGATATTTCGCGACTTACCTTTTACCGAACGCGGTGCAGCAACGGTCGATCACGCTGTTCAGCGAACCTTCTCCGAAAATCCTCAGATTTTTTATCGTGACAGCGTCTATTACCATAGTATTGGCGTAATTGAGACCCGCCCGACTACCCGCAGCCAAGAAGTCCGACGGGATGTAAGTGTTGAAGCAGCCCTGCGCCAACAATTGCTGATCGAGCAAAAACTCCTTCAGTATGTACACGCAACCCCCTAGCGCGTTCACCGCTAGTTCCTTGTTGTCAGCCGGCGTCAAACCCAAGTTGTCTCCTGAACGCGAATAAAAATAACAAAATATCTAAAAACAAAAGTTCTTGTGCAAATTTCGTACCTTCATTGAGATATGGTTTCAGGCCTTCAGGCCATGAAAAGCTAGAGTCCTTCTCTTTCTTGAAATAGTCCCCTTCGTGAAGTTTCTTTAAAGAGAAGATTGTTTTTAAATTAACTAAACGTGTAAATAACTTGTGACACGCTAAAAATATTATCTGTACCAACTTTTAACACTGTCGTGGCGGACCAGAACTGAGTTTCACGCTGCAACGGATCTTTTAGCGCTGCTGGCAGAGTACCGTTTATCAGCTGTACCGTTTTTTGCGACAGATTACCACGTTCGTATATAATCTAGAAAATAAATAGCAGTGGAATATTAGTGTCTACGAGACACAGATGATTGATCAGTAGATCATCATTATCGCGTACATGAACTGGCGGATAATGAGCTAGCAAAGTCAATAGTCGCGAGTTGCAACGGTCGTCGTCGAACTGGCCGAGATAAAATTCGCCTATCGTCGTGTCTATGAAGCAAACTCCGAAGGAACTGACGGTCGAGCCGGGATTGTATCTTTCTGTCAGAGACAGCAGGTAATTGGAGTTGGGCGTGGACGCTTCCACGTCCAGCGGAGTGTACACCCTGGTGCCTCTGGTGCTGACTTGACAGATTTCTCGCTTTACGACTTTGTCAAATTTTGTCGGCTTCGATACTGAAAGTTAAGAAACACATGAGTATATTCATCGTTTTCCGTGAATTCTTTTACGTGCTACTTATACAAAAGAACGTTGCCGCTTAAACTTTTCACATACCTTTACTGCAACGCACTGACATCATATCCGGGGTCTCCGTTTGCTCGACTCGCGCGACCTTGTATCCTCTTTCTATGAGACTCGCCGAATAACGACCGTAACCGATTTCGGGAAATCCGGAATGCGCGAACTCGCCCTTTAACATTCAATGTTGCGAGAAATGAATTTTTCCAAGAGTGACTTTCACATACTTCTTACGGAATACTTACTCGCATGTATGTCAGACTGAGCTCGTTGACACCGATAACCGCATCCATGTGATACAACTCGTAGAACTTGCCGACTTTGAAAAAAAGCACGCAATCAAAACGATTGCTCTTCAAATCCCACCATTGCCTCATTGCCTAGATAAATTTCACAGCTATAACAAAGTACTGAAACACACACACATGCAAACAGCATAACGCGAAATAACGGCAAAACTTCTTACAGGAGTTTGATTGTTTAAAAAGTCGGTAGGCACAAAAACTGTTTTGGGGTCATAATCTGGATCCTTCGGTGTTCTCCTTTGTTTGTCTCTTATTTTGTCCGGTTGCAGAAAATCGTACTTCAAGTGAGGCCAAGTCTGCGCAACAGGAAGTCCATTGCTCACAGTTTGACTTTGCATTTGCACAGGCTGCTTCGATTCCTTTTTGGTCTATAAAAAAATCAAAAGACCGAGTCAAGGATGAAGACAAAAATTTGAAAAAGCACCTTGTATTGAAAATTCTGCTCTTACTGCTTTTGTATTAGTAAGTGAACGTTTTGATTGTCCTGGCTTGGTTCTGGCACCGGATATCTTTCTTTTTTTCTAGAAGAATATTTGTATTAAATACAACATTCTCTCGTTCTTTGTGTAATAAAAAAAATTTTAGAGTAACTTGGAATAGTTCTGTTTACCTCTGGTGTTTCTTCTTCAGTGGAAGGTTCATGTTCTGAATCCCCTTCTGAAACCGAGTCAGATTCTTCAGACTCGGATTCTGTAACAAAATATTTCACACAAAACGATTTTATTTCTCTAATAATCATTTTGATCTAAGACTTTGCATATGTGTATGTCACGTGCTTGTGTGATATACCAACCTGGCTTAAACTCATCTCCAGAATCTTCACCGGAATCATCTTCAGGAATAATAAGACGTCTTCTCTTAATAGGCTTTATAGGCTCATCCTCCTCATTATTTTCATCTTCTTTGTGTGATCGTTTTTTTGCATCATCAGAAATTCGATTTTCCTTCTCTGTACTTTTGTCAAGTTCTATACACAAGTGTATAAAAATATAAACAATACATATGTACTCTAATCGAGAACGTGACACAGTCTCAATATATATAATGTACACGTTTAGGAATCACGTAAATTATATTATAGTATTTAATCAAATTTAAAATTATATCAATCAGTTTTTTGCATACAAGTATATGCAAAATTAAATAGTGCAGAAAAAAACAACAACGTACGAGGCAACAATTACACATTTTATCTCGATACGTGTTGGTTTTTTTTTACTTCGATAGCAACACGTACTTCCCTGTTCGAAATTTATCATCTCGAAGAACAAACCTTTGTTTCCTTTTCTCCTCTTAGGTGTAAGCGACTTTTGCCTTTTGGGAGTCTGTGACTTTTCTCTCTTAGGAGTTTGCGGCTGTTCCTTTTTGCTCTCCGGTTTTTTAACAGTCTTCGGAGATGTGAAATAATTAAGTATCGTGTTTACCTTAGGCATAATTCGCGTTGATACGGACTGACACAATGGATTTACAAAGATATCGGGTATATCAAAAAGCTACACAGGAACACCAGAACGCATTTCTCTGTCGCAAAGACGCAATGGATGCGAAACGTGTTTCGCGGTCTTTTGCGGAACACTAAAGGCCATCGCACATGAATCTCCGTAACCATAAGGCTGGATCCTCATACAGACACCGGCGCTTTGACACCGAGCGTTGATTGGTGAAAAGTGGGTAGTGGGAGTAAACGGCGCTAAAACACCGGAGCTGTCATGAGGATTGAGTTTTTCATGATTTTTTGGCGTTGAA